TTGCAAGGAAAGTATGAATGGACATATGTTCAATGGGCGACCATGTGTAGTCGCTTATGCATCATCACCGTATAATGTGAAGAGGATGGGTGAGGCTCAGGTGAATCGAAATCAGCAGGTGGCTCAAACTGCTGTTCCCCAAGCAAGGCGGGGGCCTGGTGAAGCTGCTGGTAAAATTGGAAATAACAACACTCCTACTGGTGGCAATTATCAAGGCGGCGGTGGTGGTGGGGATGGCAACAGGGGGGGTTATGGTAGAGGCAGTTGGGGTAGAGGAGGTCCTCAAGCTATGGGAAATCGGGGGCCTGTAGGTCCTATGAGAAACAGGCCTGGTGGGATTGCAGGTAGGGGTATGATGGGTAACGGTGGAGGTGGATTTGGACAAGGTATGGGTGGTGCACCTCCTATTATGCATCCTCAAACAATGATGGGTCAAGGCTTTGATCCTGCTTTTGGAGGGCCTATGGGGAGAATGGGTGGTTATGGAGGATTTCCTGGTGGTCCAGCTCCACCATTTCCTGGTATGTTGTCATCTTTTCCACCTGTTGGAGGAGTTGGGATGCCTGGAGTAGCTCCGCATGTAAATCCTGCATTCTTTGGTAGAGGAATGCCAATGAATGGTATGGGAATGATGCCAGGCGCTGGTATGGAGGGGCCTAACATGGGGATGTGGTCAGAACCTAATGCGGGTGGATGGGCTGGTGACGAGCACGGTGGTAGAGCAGGAGAGTCAAGTTATGCAGAAGAAGCTGGGTCTGATCATCAGTATGGAGAAACAACTCACGATAGAGGGGCTTGGCCAAATAATGTGAAAGAGAAAGACAGAGGATCAGAGCGTGATTGGTCTGGTTCTACAGATAGAAAACATAGAGAAGGCAGAGAACCATCCTATGATAGAGACATGGCTCGTGAAAAGGATCGGGGCCACGACCAGGATTGGCCAGAGAAAAGATACCGCGATGATAGAGATGTCGCACGAGACAGAGAGAGGGACCGCGATCATGAACGTCCTAGAGAACGAGGGCGTGATCGCGAGAGGGATCGAGATCGTGATCGTCATAGGGATGATAGAGATAGATATGCTGATCATCACAGGTACAAGGACCGTGAGCAGGAATATGATGATGAAGACAGAGGAAGATCATCAAGAGGACACAGCAAATCACGATTATCACATGAGGAAGACCATCGGTCAAGATCAAGGGATGCTGATTATGGAAAGAGGCAGCGTATAACATCAGAGTGATCTGTGGCCTTGGCTGCTTATTTTCAAGGGTACTTCACAATGAGATCAATTAGTAGCTAATCTACTGAGGGTTTCCATGTGTATCCAGGCTTTCTACTGGGAGGCTTCCTTTACTTCCTGCGTTCATCAAACAGTTGCTCTCTGAAATGTTCTGTTGCATACATGTTTATGCTCTTTTCCTGTTTAAGGAGCACTGGTCTCTCAGCACTAAGAAGTAAGTTCACAGCTCCTCTTACATTGAATTTGTTGCTTTTGGTAATGAATACTACATGTATTTGCTATTTCTCTGTTTAGGAGGATGTTCTTTGTCTGAAGGGCTTTCTCAAGCATGATGTGCTAGTTGGGAGGGGACTACTATTATTTATGTGGAACTTTATGTAACCAAAGTTTTCACTGTTTGATGCTGGTCAATCATGGAAAGCTTTCTTTATGATTTGCTGTGTCATGTTATATGCTAAAGCTGAGGCGTTTTTTGTTTTCTGAATCCCGGTGTTAAGAGAACTATATAGAGAATACTGAATCAGTTGTAGATTTTTTTTTTGACTCTTGTAATCTAGAATATATTTTATGTTTTGTAAATATTTGACTGCCAGTACCATCTTGGTACTGAAGAATACACTGCTATCTTATTAAAAAATTATAACAACATCCACAAGTGGGGTTTGGGAAGCATAGGATGTACGCAAATCGTACCCTGACCTTTGTAGGGTAGAGCTGCTGAAAAAAAAGATGATTATTAGGACCCGTTTGACCATGAAACTTGTGAGTTTTGGAAAAAGGTAGTATTTTCTTTCAAAGTGAAAAATGGTATTTGGGAATTGGAGTTGTGTTTGGCCATTAATACCAATTGGAGTTGTTTGTGAATTTGGTGTTTTCAAATTTTGACTTTTTTTGGAAGTAAGTTGCATTCCGGAGCTTTATGGCCTGACATGATTTCCAGAATTCTACTCTGGGAAAAAAGTAATAACATTCATGATCAAACATATGCTTCATGTAGAATTTAACTTCATAAGAAAGTGACTGATACTATAAAAGCCATAGGAAATCCTTGGGGAGTGCATGAAGTTGCTCATTCAATTCTGTAAGTGAACAGCATATATATCTTTTGTAAACCATCAGTCTTCGTTGTCTTTGCACTTTGTTGTTATGTGATATCCTTCAAGCTGATTTATGTCTAATTTTTGTTATTTGGGAAATTTAAAAAAAACATGGCATTTTGAAAACCCTGCAAGGTTTTCAAATTTCATAACTTATTTTGTTAACTAATCATGAATCCTAATAGACTGACCTCCTGGTACTCCTTTGTTATGGAGGGCTATAATTAACATTTCTCTTAGGTTCTTCTTGGTGGGGTTCTTAATAGGAAGTGCTGCATTTTCAGCATAAGCTTGAGATTTTCTAGTAATTTTAGCAGAAGTAGTGTTCCAATTTATTACTCCTTCTGTACCAATGTATGTGGTTGTGTTTGACTGTGCGGAGTTTTAGAATGGATGATAGACTTTTTGGACTAAACTTTTATGCCTGTAAGTATCAAGGATGCCTACATCAGTTGGATTCTCTTGGAAAAATCTAGGATGTGTTTGGAAGGAGTGAAACTGAAGATGTTTTGTTGAAATATCTACTCCAAAGTACTCCCTTAAGGCTAGATGTCTTCAAAATTTATGTAGTTGGAATAGCTTTTCCCCAGTGGACTCTGATGTCAAACTTTTGGATTTTGTTAGCTCCTTATACATAGCATAGGACTCATTGTAACTGAGCTAACAATCTCTTTCGTTTGTAATTATGCATCTTCTTGATGCCATTGATACTACTGCTTACTTTATTTATGGTCTAAAACAAACCATAAACATTTATTTGGTTATAAAGAACAATAAAAGAAATCATATCATCAAGTGTAAGGTTAGAAGTTTAAAGAAAAATATTTGCAAGTATGGCATTTTTCTTGGGATGAAATTGGGAAATCGAAGGGAGCAGTTTTTTTTCTTGGACCAATGTTGGGATGAGGTGAGTTTAATTTGAGAAACATGATTAGTAAGAAGGATACATATAGTTGATACCGACTTACTTGGCAATGAGGAGGAATAGTTGTGTGCTTATTTAGACTTGTGAATTTTGATTTTTACCATGAGACTGACCGACTGTAGTTCCAATGTTTGATTGTTCTTTTTTCTGCAAGGTGTTGATTACAAATTTTGTTTGGTTTCTTGTGATTATAGCATGGAGGACGTAGAGCAAGCTGTGTGAAGAAGTATGGAAGGGAACTCCTTGAAGCTTCTGCCTGAGGAAGAATGTTATATTATATGGTTTTACCTCTCAGTGAAGATTGAATTGCTAGTGGAACCTTTTATGTCAGTTTTTGAATTTATGTTTTTGTTGAATGTGACCTGAATAATCCTTTCTGGTGACTTGTGACTTTATTGGAAGCCTAGTTATAGATTATCATAGACATTTGCTATTTGATGTAATGTGCTAGGAGGATTTGACCCACAGGTTGGCGCCGATCTGATCCCTTGCTCTGGGGTTTGTTGTACTAATTGTTTTTCTCTTTGTATCATCGTTGTTTCTTTGTTTTTGACCCAGTTTTTTAGTTGGGCATATGTTGTTGTTTAGCGCTTATTCTTCCTTCTGCAAGTGTACATAGAATTTTTCTTGTTACAAGTTTTTGAAAAGTGTACATGGAATACTAACAAGAAAATAGTTCCTGTCATTCTAAATGAACTGTTTACATTTGTCTTCTTTGTTTGCATTGTGTCTGTTTGTGTCTCTGTACTGTGCTAAGTTGAGAGAACATTGTTTCATATTTGCATTAGATGGTGCTATGTGCATAGCTCTCAAGTTACACATTTAATTCTTCATTGTTTTCGGCATGAGTTCTTCACTACTGTAATTGTTTTTCATACTTGATTTTCATATGTTTTGCTTGCGTCGAGGGTTTTTTGCAAACAGCCTTCGTGAGAATACATAGGCTGTTGCTCCATTTTTTTGTCCCCTTTGTTATTTCAAAGGAATTTTCTTTGGATCTATGAACCTTTATTTAGCATTCCTTTTTTTATGACAAAGAAAATTCGTCGTCGCTACCCTCTGTCTGGATGTGCTACAGGGTAAACCATTGCTCTTTTACAGTAGCTCGATCTGTACTACCGGTGTGACACGTTAGCTCGATCTGTACTACCGGTGTGACATGTTCGACTCAGAAGGCAAATTTCAAGCTGGCTACATCGAACTATTACAATTTATGTTGAGTGAGGGATTATTTTGGTAATTATGTATACCTTTGATTACAATTTATGACCAAGCAATCAAACTTGTACTAATAAAAAAATCACTTTATCTCAATATTTCAAATCCTTTCATTAAGTGTTCTCTATATATACAATTCAAAATTATTCAACAATACCTATTTCTCAATTAAAAGATGAATATTTGAACAACACTACTACTACCAAAAAAAAAAGACTTGGTTGCATAAGTCTTTATTTTTAGTTCTTTGTCATCTTTACAAAAAGATCTTTATTTCACACATTAAATATCTAAAAAAGTTTTTTTTTTCTATATATTATGGTTGTACCAAAAATATTTTTCTAAAAAAAAAATAGTGGTCCACGTAAGCAACGATAAAAATATCCTATCCTGACCGACCATACCCCATATAAGATGCCGACGTCCCTGATCTTTCGGCTAAACCAACAACCAATCATACACTTCCACGTATTCAACTCCATGCCATTTTTAACACAAACCCCCCTATTATATTCTATCTTATCCTATTCTAAAAATTCAGTGCTTCAACATTTTTCTCCCTGACATATTGTTTATTATTAGTTTCATAAAAAAAATTATAAAAATTTTCTCCATTTTCTTGTTCTTAAAGCTTGTGTACTATCATAGGCAAATACAAGACTGCGTATACATCAATGTCTTCGGACTTTACTCGTAGAATTACATTTACGACAGAATAAAGTTGTGCATATCGTACCACTTGTGAGATTACTCCGGGTAAGTTGTTGTTCTTGTAGTTCTCTATAAAGTATTATTTGAGCAGAGGATATATCAAAAACCGTCTTCTATCTTTCACCAGATAGGGGTAAGTAAGACTGTGTATGACGCACTATCCTTGTCAAACTCTATTTGTGGAATTACGTTGAGTATGTTGTTGTTTTTTCAGTGAAAAGATCCCAAACTTTGATAAAGTTTGAGTCTTTTTTTTTTCCCTTTCGACAGGTAATTTCTCTTTTGTATTGATCGGAACAGAATTTAGGCGATTTCGATGGCGGATTCGGATAATGAATCAGGAGGACATAGAGATAACAGTAACATTGAGAGTTCCCTAAGAGAACAAGACAGGTTCCTTCCCATAGCAAATGTAAGCAGAATCATGAAGAAAGCTTTACCAGCTAACGCGAAAATCTCAAAAGATGCTAAGGAGGTAGTTCAAGAATGTGTTTCTGAATTCATAAGTTTCATCACAGGGGAAGCATCAGATAAGTGTCAAAGAGAAAAGAGAAAGACAATCAATGGTGATGATCTGTTGTGGGCAATGACAACTCTTGGTTTTGAAGAATACATTGAGCCACTCAAGATTTATTTGCAGAGGTTTAGGGATTTGGAAGGGCAAAAAAGTGGTGTCTCTGGAGAGAAGGATCATAGTGGATCAGTGGGTTATGTTGAGGACTACCATGGCATGATGATGATGGGGAGTCAACATCATCAAGGACACGGGTATGGCACCGGTGTATACAATCATCATACGGGGGAGAATGCTGCAGGGGTTGGTACAGGAGGGTCGCGGTTTCCTGACGTTGGGAGGCAAAGGTGAAGCTGTGACATCCGCGGACTACAAAGATGTATCAGGACGCGATGTATCAACTGTCAACAGGTTGAAGTATGGACACTGAAAGACAGGAACAGACTTTGTAGTTTGTATTCTACAGAGATGTAAATTGGTAAACATGTGTGTACATTACAATGTGGGTGTAAACATGGATTGTAATTGTCTATTACATCATTGTTTCTCTAATAGTTGATGTTTGAATAAGCCTTTTTTAGTGTAACAAACGATTTACATTGTCATATATTATCACTTCTTCAAGAGTTTCAAACCATACGCAACTATCCATACCTAAACAAAACTCAGTCTATGGGAGGATTCAAAACTGATAACATCTGCCACAACACAACCATCACACTATGCAATTACAGCTCGACCAATGCTTTGAAGGGGAAACAAAGTTTCCACAGCACGAGCAAGTGCAAAAACTTACAAATCACGTTCGACATTGTGAAACGATTCCGTTTCCACCTGCATTTGAACATTTTCAAATCCTAATATCCAAGAATGCGAACATCACCATGCAATGGCCACAACAAAGCACTAGCTGATAGTTGATTCACTAACAAAGACAGTTTCAAGTTCCAACACTAGTTAGACTTGGAAAATCCCAGCCCACAAAAATAAATAAGAAAACAGCCTTACATGGTCACAAATGGATGTTGATTTTGACTACAGTATTTGTACTTGTAATCCATGATCCAGGGCAGCTAAATAAGTTGACAGAAACAAAAACTACAAATGTGTTTATACAAGCAGTAATCTTGCATTTATAATTCTACGATATCCTAGTCAAAGTATTAATCATAAAACGATACATTGACAATAGATTACAGCTGGTTGAACTCGTAACGAGCACCTGGAGGCACAAATTCATGAGGAAGAGATCGGTTATTGAGACGGACAGTGTAGGCTACATTTCCTGTGATTACATTCTACTCATGTTTTCAGGCTTTCACAGCTTTGGTAGAAGGCTTTTTAGCATCCTTCAAGGCCTCACCTTCATCTTCCTCATCATCTTCCTCGTCAGCTAGTTTAGTAAGCTCATCCTGGATCATAATCTTTATAGACGATTTTCTGGGCATGAGATCGGTATCAAACCGCTTGGCTGCAGAAGAAAAAAGGTGTCATGCATTGCTTAGAAACAAGGACAGAGGCCATCCGAAATCTACATATCTTGCTATTCTGGCCTCATGGAGCACATACATTACGTTTCTCAAAATATAACTTGAACCAACACAATAATCAATAAGACCTAGCTTCTTTTTACCAAGTACACCTAAAGAATTGCCAAAAGAACAGACAAAATAAGAACACTCACCAAGTTGCTTCAGAATGTCAGTAAAGGTAGCCTACAAGCACAAAACAGACACGATGTTAGGAATTCTGGGATGCAAAATTTGAGAATGAAAATTACCACTGTGGATCACTCAAATATACAATGGGTTAGAGCATAATAGCAAAAAGGAATATAGAGAAGTAAATGTATGCGTCTCCACAGAACAATCATACAAGGGAATCGCAAGATGGGATGAATTGGAGTTCAATGCTAACCGTATTGAAGTCAACTTCTTTCAGAATTTCACAAATCGCATTTCTAAGTTCATCATCACTTGGTCTCAGTTTATCCTCCTTGCTCTTGTCCTTTCCCTTTACAATCTTTTTCCCTGCACAAACACAAAGCTCTTTGAGAAACACCTTTGCTAATTATCAGTACAAATCAACCATATTTGAACACCTCATAACAATCCACCAATGGGCATATATAGCAATCCTCACCAGTATTTTCTCTGGGAGTAGACTTCTTTGGCGTTGAAGATTTTTCTTTAACTACTTCAGTTTTCTTCTTCTTTGAAGATGCTTTGGGAGTTGCATCATCGTTAGCAATATGCTTTGAGCTCTTTGATGATTTTGAAGGGGTCTTTTTGGGAGGACTTGGTACTTTAGAGACTGCAGGTTTCTTGGTCTTAGCTTTCACAGCAGGTTCTTTCTTTGTTGAAGATTTACTTGAACTCTGCTTATGCTTTTTCTTGTCCTCCTTAGGCTCCGGCTCTGGCTCAGGCTCAGGCTCAGGCTCTTGCTCAGGCTCAGGCTCAGGCTCAGGCTCAGGCTCATCTTCAGATTCACTCTCCTTCTCACTTTCAGCCTGATCTGACTTCTCATCATCAGATCTCTCAGGAACACCATTAGTCTTTTCCTCTTCAGATTCCTCATGGACATCTTCTTCTTGCTCAGATTCATCTTCTGACTCTTGCACTTTCTTCTTCTTTTCAGCCTTTTGTGCAGTTTCGGCCTTCTTTCCACTCTGTATTGTTAAAAAGAAAACCAAACCCCCCCAAATAAAATATTAATGTAAAAGCACAGCTCCGCCCTTTCTTTTTCTTATTCTAATTCGAAAACAACATATGGTAATAAACATGATGAATGTTCTTAAAACATATGTAGTATTAATCCAGACCGCAAAATTTCAGCTTATTGTAAGACACACTTTTTCTCTTCTTTTTCATTAAGGTAAAAAGTTCTCACTCTATAAAGATCAGATTAGCAGTCGAACACTTCCAAGACAAAGCCACTTCAAAGCAGCAAGAATAAATTACAAGAATTTTGGCAACTTCTACACTGTTAAAGTCATGGTGATACTAACCCTCTGAGATCTTAGAATGTGGATTCATAAAATCAAGACGGGAACAGGTAAAACCACAAAAAAAAAATTGTGCAATGAATTTTGATTTTATCAAATTTTGTTCGTGAATATTAAGAGTTAAGACTACAGGATACAAGTAGCCGGTTGCAAATGGAAAACCATATTTCAGTTGGTATTATTTCACTACTAGAACTCAAATAGATGTTAAGAGGAGAGAAATACCTTGGTTGATCCTTTCGAGCTAGCGGATGCCGATGAGGGACTTTTTTTGCTCTCTCTTCTCCGCTTCTTTCCTCTGCTTGACTATTCATTTGACCGGAGATGTGTCAGCATACTATAAACAAACAGAACAAGTGACAAATACTTTTATCACAGTCAGAAGTCACCCACCTGGTCCTTCTCGGCCAGCAACTCAGAAGTTGTAGCATGAGGAGCTTCCAGAAAGTCCATCAACTTTACCACCATGTCTTCCTGATCATATAAATCTCCTAATTAGTTAAGACGCTTGGGAGGAAGATAGTATAAAAGATGCAATCTTCACATAATATGAAGTGACAAGTTGAGGATGAAAGCAATTTCCTCAGTCAAACTATTCAAAAGGAAAAATATATTCTTCCTGTTCAGCCTAACTATGTACTTCTCATAAGATAAATTGCATGTGAGTGAGAAAAGAACTACTTAGTGAAATAAAAATGCCTAGCATGCAGCAAAAACATGTGAACACACCTTTCTGGAAGTAGCTTTGGTAACAGGTATATCCAGTACATCACAGAATTCCAACAGCTTCTCTTTAATATACTTGTCAAACTTTTCTTTTACTTTCATCTTTTGCTTTTCCTGCAACATTACAATGACCTAACCTTAAGAATTTCTATAAGCTCAATCATAAAATAATGAATGAGATGCAATTTTCTGAGTAACAATGAATGAGATACATATACAACCATTGTGAGCAAACAAAGAGAAGGTTTAAGCTTCTTCCCCAGATGACCATCCCAGCCAAAAAGGGAACGGAATAGTTGTTTGCTCATATACGCATCCTTCCACAACATGAGATGTCATTTACCTCATTTTCATGCCAGACAAAGCCAGAAAACCGTGAAATATTGCTCTTGATCTGGGCTGCCTGAAAAGGACAAGAACTATGAGCAAAATAAATAAAAGGATGAAACTAGGGAAGCAAGATTAGAAGTGAATCAATCCAGTGGAATGAGCTGCTGACTAATTCCATATGTAGTGATCAAGTAACAAGCAGAATAATCCTAATGAAGTTATCGGTAAGAAAAATCATGCTAAATGCTTCAAATCATCATATTTGCAAGAAGAAAAGAAAGACAGATATCATGTTTAACAAAACGTATAATCGAACACAGACAAGCACACTATGGTAAATATTTCTAAGACTTTTTCTTGCAGGTGATAAATTGCAGATATCAGAAAGTTTTAACTGATGCTGGAAAAAAAGTACCTCAGTGTCAGCTGAAAAGAAATGATATGGCACTTAGGTTGCAGATGTGACTCTTTAGAACTAGATATAGTTATAAAGCATTTTTTTTCTTTAAGTACAAGTTTCCTAATGGACTTAGGTTGCAAAAGATCTCAAAATTATTTGTATCTCTTCAGTTGTCACTGCTTTTGAGTTGTGATATAAGGTAAATTACAGTATGGCTCAAACAAAATTCAAAATACTTTTAGGAGTAACCACCAACATTATTGTTTATAACTATGCTGTCCGGGTCAACTTTCCGGCACCTCAACTAATTCCACTTGGGACCTGTTACCTCCCACCGACAGGTAATTTCCTCAAGATAAAAGGTGAAATGTTCATAACTTCACCTTGGTAATTTCATATACTGATTCTATCCTCCTTTCAAGGTGAAAGATGAGGGAAGAAGAAAAATGAGTTCTTGTAAAATAATTAATATCAAGCGAAACCAAAACTTTTAGTCTATCACATGATACAGGATGAGTCATAAAGAGTAGACTTTCAAGTTCAACTTCAGGATTCTACTTTCTGAAAGGACATGAGGACATAGTGTCATCATGAACAAGTGGAACTCCAGTTCTGCACTGTGCACAATGTCCACACATTCCTAAGTTCCAAACACATTAAAGATTCTTTTGAAGTTTTCTTTTCATTTTTCTTCGTCCAACTAGGAGTCTCACATTTGGCTTTCAACTTGGTAGGATTATTATTATACGTTTTCCCAAAAGAACATTCATTCATTTATCTCTTCCCCGTCGACTTCTCCAGTATATAAAATGTAACAAAACAGGTTTACAAGACCAACAAATATTCACAGATATAAGCAGTAAGTCTCTAAATATATTTCGAGACTATGTGATCCTATGGAATCTTCAGGTTCAAGTCATGTTGATAAATATTTCCAATATTTAAGCCTTTCCACAACTAATACTATCCGGACTGGTCTACATTTATGGAACTATCAAACAAGATATTGTATGAATAATGATTATGCCAACTCTTGAAAATCAAAGTAAGATAATTTTATATTCCTCTTGGAAGACGCAGAAAACATAAGATGACCATAGCATTTTTTCTTTTATTTATTGCAAATAACAAAGCTACAATATCACAT